CTAAAGCTGTGCAAAGAGTCCTGTGAGGGAAAGAATTTCTGCTTCTGTCATGAAAAGTATTTTGTTTTGGTCTTTCTCAAGCAGGAGAATGGGAAGTACGTCCGCCGTAAGCAATTTCCCATCTCTCTGGTACTGGCTCCAACCAGAGAACTTGCTCTTCAGATTTATGACGAGGCCAGAAAGGTATATCTTTCTGGTAAACCAGTTACAGGTTAGCAAAAGTTGGTCCAATTTAAAGCTCATCTTAACTAATTTTGTTGTCATCTTCTGCAGTTCTCTTACCGCTCCAGAGTGCGCCCGTGTGTGGTGTATGGAGGTGCAGATATAGGCCAGCAGATCCGTGAACTGGAAAGAGGCTGTCACCTTCTAGTGGCCACACCAGGTCGTCTGGTAGACATGATGGAGCGGGGCAAGATTGGCCTAGACTACTGCAAGTAAGTGAAGCGAGTATGATTCTAAGCTAGAATGATTAAGTTTTCTTTGACCTCAAATACATCGTGGTTCAGAAAAATGACTTTATACTTTCTTTGTAGATATCTGGTGTTGGATGAGGCTGACAGAATGCTCGATATGGGTTTTGAACCCCAGATCAGACGTATCGTGGAGCAGGACACCATGCCTCCAAAAGGTGCTCGCCAGACCATGATGTTCAGCGCCACCTTCCCAAAAGAGATCCAGGTAAGCGTATATGAGGCTTACCAGTGAGTCTCATAATGAACTTTAAATACAATTTTTTATTTTAATAAGGAACTCTTTGCTTCCATACTTTATTTTATTTTAAGATTCTGGCCCGTGACTTTCTGGAGGAGTATATATTCCTGGCTGTGGGCCGAGTGGGCTCCACCTCAGAGAACATCACTCAGAAGGTGGTTTGGGTGGAAGAGAATGACAAGCGCTCCTTCCTCCTTGACCTGCTCAATGCAACAGGTAAAACGTCTTTCCTCGTCTACTGTTTCTCGATGTCATGGGATTCTTGATGGCTTGTTACAGGAATAACATACTTGGTCAAGTTCAGTGTGATGGTATATATGGGTGTATAGATTTTATTGTGTTGTAGCACTAGTTTTTAAAAATAATACTGCAAATAGTGGTATGGGAAGAGTCAGAAGATGTGGAATTATTACCATTTATTTTTGAATAACTCCTACTTTAACAAAAACATCTTAAATCTGAGTGTTTTTAAAGTTATTTTTAAATGTGATACTAAAGAGATGAAGAGTGTACTTTAGGTATTGCTGTTGTGCTAGTAAACATGTAGAAACAGTGTCTGGCTTCTTGGTGAAGCTCTCATGTTTATCCATAGCAACACAGCACTGAGTGCTTTTAGGTAAGTCTCATCGGTCAGTGTTACCATGCCAACATTATCTAAGCAAAGACTAGCAGAAGGCTACTGTTAAATAGCTTAAAGGGAAGGAATGAAGTCATGTCGTGGGACATTTTAATGGCAGTGCGCTCTACCGTTTCATCCTTATGTGCTAATGGAAATCATGTCAAAACCTGACTACAGTAAAGAAGCAAGCTGTGGCTAATATTGCATTCAATGCATATAATTAAGCTTACAAAAGCACAGATGTATTTCTGCATTTGCAAGATGTTTTTATCCAGAGTGACTTGCTTTTCGTCTTTGTAGGCAAGGATTCTCTCACACTGGTGTTTGTGGAGACTAAGAAGGGTGCTGATGCTCTTGAGGACTTTCTCTATCGTGAGGGCTATGCCTGCACCAGTATCCATGGCGACCGCTCTCAGCGCGATCGTGAGGAAGCGCTCCACCAGTTCCGTTCTGGGCGCTGCCCTATCATGGTTGCCACCGCTGTGAGTAGAGTCTGAGTGTTCACTGGAAGCCTGTGGTTTTCCTCCTGATTGCTTAACTGGTTGTATTTTTGTCTTGATAGGTGGCTGCACGTGGCCTTGATATCTCCAACGTGAAACACGTGATCAATTTTGACTTGCCTAGTGACATTGAGGAGTACGTCCACCGCATCGGTCGTACAGGCCGAGTGGGAAACCTTGGTGAGTTTTACTATCGTTTTTGGAAATACCTTGAATTTCTCGTTTTTGCCAGAACATCTGTTTGAATTATTGATTTATCTTCAGGACTGGCCACATCCTTCTACAATGATAAGAACAGCAACATCACAAAAGATCTGCTGGACATCTTGGTGGAGGCCAAACAGGAGGTGCCTTCCTGGCTTGAAAACCTAGCCTACGAGCACCAGCACAAGAGCACCAACCGCGGACGCCCCAAGAGGTACGGAAGCATCCAAGCTCTTCAAATCTCCCCAGTGGGTTTGTGCATTTTCCAGATTCATGATGTTACTCTTCTTCTGCAGGTTCTCTGGTGGTTTTGGGGCCAGGGATTACCGGCAGATGGCTGGGGGCGGCAATGTTTTCACCAACCGTGGTGCTCGCAACACTGGTGGCCATGGAGGGAGCAGAGGTTTTGGAGGCAATAAGGGTTAGTTTCACTTCAAACCACATCTTATGATTTGATATACGATATGTGTATATATATATGTGTGTGTGTGTGTGTGTATATGAATATGTGTGTGTATATGTATAAATGTTAACATATAACCTTGATTAATAAACTAACAATAAACAATATTTATTACAGTATACATTAGTGTTTAATTTTATTATAAAAGTCAGTGGAAATTGTTGAAAGCAGTCCTGAATTTATTGTCCATTTTAGGTGGCTTTGGGAGTTTCGGTGGTGACAGCTATGGGGGCAACTATGGAAACTATGGAGGAAACTATGCCCAGGTGGACTGGTGGGGCAACTGAATGTACGTTTGCCAAACTAGCTGAACGGAAACCACGTCATCATAGCCAGACTCTACCCCCTGTGTAGCTTTATGAACTCGGTACATTACACGCTGTGATTCTCTGCCCACATTCTAAAGGGAGCTGCTCTGTGGCAAAACCAGAGCAGAATAACAAGGATGCCCACTTGTGTATTTGATCTATTACAGCACCTAGGTTTCTGACTTTTTCTGTTAAAAAAAAAAAAAGAGGATCATTTCTATGTGAATGTACTGTGCCTTTTTGAATATAGACAAGAATTTAATTTTGTTAATTTCATTGAGTGAACTTGGCCAAGAGCAATGTTTTTTTTGTTTTCATTTCTTTTTTGCTGTAAAGGCATTTGAAAGCTTGTACTTAATCAAACCTTGGCAAATACTGGGATAATGTGACTCAGCGAGTCGCTGTTCCATTTGAACTTCAAATTATCACCAATATCTTGAAGCCAACAATACAAGCCACAAAGTAAAACGCATCACAGGCGCTTTGCTAGAACCGTTCTGTGAAGCATCTGAGTCACAAGGGACAAATCGGTCTGACTTACTTTTTGTTTTGCTCACTCTATCCTGCAGAGACACCTCTTTAGGGATATGGTTGTCTTGAAAAGGCCATTCCAGTTGTGATATTCATGACGAAATATTGGAAACACTCAGTGTTTGAAAATTCAAAATGCTGGAACTTCTTACTCCATTTGTTTTAATTGACTTGACAGTGTTACAGCAGCTAGCAATAACCACATGCTAGCCACTCTTAAGTGGCCAGCATTTTTTGTTAACTACTACTTTTCTTCCTCTAAACAACATTTTAGAGAAGCAGATGCCATTTATTGAAAAACTCCAAGGTTTTTTGATAAAATGTTTCTTTACAAATGTCAGCAAAACAAAAAATGCCTGCCATCCTGAAAGCGAAGTTCAAATGGCTACAAACGGACCACAGAACCAAAGCGGCCGTGCCTTTGCAACATGACCGCTTTGGTCACATACGCATGCTAGTGTTTTGTTTTTTGGTCAAGGAGAGAAGATGAACGAACTGTTGCAGGCTTTCTTTCAATACAAACGTCCTCTCTTTTCAAGCTGCGCAGCAGGCATGGCTCCCTTTTTCATAGGTAGAGGCAGCGTGAGAGTTCATTTTGAGGTACTGGCGGATCCAAACCGGCGTTGGGCCTGACGTGAGTGCAGTTAGACAGCCCACCATTTTAGCTTGTGTACGGAGTCCCGCTGTTCTGCGCGAGGCCGGACACCAGGTATACGAATGCTGTCAGCTCCTGAAATTCATCAGGTTAGATGTGAACTAAACCACTGGCCGAGGAGCCAGTTTATTGCTTCTTTTCTTGAAAAAAGACAGAAGTGCTCGAGTGGAGGAGAAATAAGGCATTTATCGCAAGTGCAATAGATTTTCTTCTCAAGTGAGTTGTGCCTTGACTTTCTTTGTTTTTTCTGGTTTTTTTTTTTTTAAATGATGAATTCAAGCAGATGCACTGACAGTATTAAGAACTTCAAGTTGAATGGTGCTACTTTAGTTAGGTCTAGGCCCGTGTACATTGTGCCCATCAAGTTTTACAAAGTTCTTTTATTGCACATTTCGAGTTTTATATATACACGTGTCTTGAGTGCATGTCCTCAAGCTTCCAAATATTGTGTCAGGAGACCGGAGATACGCAGCTTGTTTACAAAAGGGGGAGGGTTCTCACTATTTACCAGGATTTATTTGGGACCAGGGCGATCAGCAGTGGGGAATTTAGCTGTTTGCACACAGATTTCTAGATTCTACTTTTGCTGCTAGTTTTGTGTAATTTATTAAGCATTTTTTGAGAAATATTTATTTTTATAAGCCTCAAAGTGATTCTTTGAAAGTTTCAAGTAACTTGACCAAAAGACAATACCTGAACACTGGCACTTGAATGTTGAATGTCACCTGTATGCGTGGAAAATTTCTGTATTTCGGGGTAGCGTGAGCTTTTTAATGTTTCAGACGTAATGGACTTGGTCAGTTTCCACAGCTGTTAACGGCCTAATGGCAACACGTCGCTATGGAATTACCAATTGGCTCTCAAAATTGGAAACGGGCGGGGGGGGGACATGCCAAGGTTTGGATTGAAAAAATGTAAAAAAAACAAAAACTTAAGTATCAGTGCAAAATGTGTCCAGATTCTCCACATGTGTGCTTTTTTCTGTCCTACAGATTGGCATTTGTTCTGTTGAAGTTTTGTTTCTGTCAATGTCTGGCACATGGCAACCTTGAACATGTGGTTGATCTCTATTGTATTTACATATACAGCGACTCTGGTATTAGTCCACTCGGGAGAAGCTGCAAGTATCCACGCTAGCAATAAGTCTTAAAGTGTATTGGAAACACTGAAATCACATCCCCTGCCCTCCATCCAGATGGAAATAAGAGAATAGATGGCTTCCTGAGAGGACACCAGAGCTCCTTAGATTTAGTATTTGCTTTGTCGTAGCTTCTAGGCTCTGCACTGCATGAGATGACTCAGCTGTGCATTTATTGTATGATTTTACCAAAATAAAAGTTTCTGATGCAAATTCCTTACAATCGAGCATGATTTGTTAAGTGTTTCATGTAGCAGAAATTCGGTCAAGCATTTGTAATGGCTGCTCCTCATGTGATCTAAACTCAGTGGAGTTGTTTGACATTTAGTTGATGCCAGTTTATTTACAAAATAGAAACTCTTTCTTTACTTAGTGTCCCTTGTCTTATTTCCTCTGCTTACAGTGGGCTTTACAGTGATGCTGCATTTGCTGGTACTTGGGGACTCAAGTGTTAATCAACTCTTGTTTTTTTTTTTTGCTCGCCCCAGATCATTTCCGCTGTCAAAGTGATAACAGACTAGTAGTAAAGGACTAGACTGACTGAAAATATGTATAAAAATATACATATTGATGAACTGCCATTTGTATAAAACAATGTAAGATTACTCAAATTATTAAATGAAGCATTCTTCCTAAAAGGGCAGGTGGTAGTTGGAACGTGTGTCAGATGCTTTAGGGTGAACTGTGCCAGTAGCTCAACTAATGGTGTCAAACTTCACATTCAAATGAAATAAAATTAAACGCCCCAAAACACCAGTTGTTTCATGGTTAAATATTCTGAATCTGACATGTGGTGTTTTATTAATATCTTTAAGAAAATTGTAATAATATACAGCAAAATAAGACTTTGGGACTGGACAGTGATTTTATTTTTGTGCTGTATAAACACATTTTTGATAAATCCTTACGTTTACCAATAATTCATCTTAAACATGACACTGCTGAAGCCAGATGAGTCCTATTTAAAAAATGAAAAATTCTGTTATTTTTTCAATGTGACCCCATTGTCCCCTAACATGAAATCCAGGTGGTAGAAGGTTCTCCAATGAAAGGTGTTAACATACTTGCAGATGTTTCCTGAAACGTTTACATTATGGTACAGTATCTCATGACCACCGGTTTATATAAGAAGATTGCAGCCTGTAATCTGTATGTACTATTGAGGCCCAGCGGGTCATTTCTACTCGCTTTGATTTCAGAGTACTGCTTTAAACGCTTATAATCCCAGGATTTTTCTGCCATTAAGTGATGGCTGTCTGAAGGGGAGCGCTGATGATAGTGGATGTGTGCACATACAAACATTCATATTTTCTCTTGGAGCGAAGCAGTACAGACATAGTCATGGTGGGCAAACTTATGGATTAACTTTTATTAGTTGTCTGTGCAGGAGAACCTTTACTGAACATGCTTGACAGGTAAGTAGTTTGGGGCCAGTGCTGACATTTTGTAATCATTTAACACTGGGATTTTTTATTTAATTTTATCGAATAAAATGTTCTGTCCTCTCTTGCTAATTGTATGTTCAATAACAAGATATCCTAATTGTTGTTTTGTTTTAGTGGAAATGCTTAAGTTAATTTATCTTAAAAATCCACAGTTGAGAGGAACCAGTGATGCGTTTCATCGCTATTGCTGGTAAGTCTATGATTTTTGGTGTTTTATGTTCCTTGCTGTCGTCAGTGTTGTATTTCGTCAATGATATGAGCAGGTGTAATTAAACCACTGTGCTAAAAACAATCTATTCAATTCAACTGATCTCAGTGTTTTTGAGAACATTACATTAAAGCGTGGTTACAGTATGTTCCTGAAATGCAGTATCTCTACTGATGGAAATTTAAGGGAACAAACAAGACCTGGTGTGTTTGTGTAATCTCTAATCTGTCCTTTCTTAATCACCCTATTTTCAGTGTGTGGAGCAGATGCAGGACAGAGGGAGGCCACACATTAAATTATTCCTCCAGTGTCTGCTTGTGCTCTGTAATCTTCCCATAACTGCTGGGAGAACGAGCACGACTCATTTGCAAAGTGATTGCTTATGCTGCATGACTAGCGTTTTGTTTTGGTATAATTAAGAGTCCTGGAAGTTCTATCTGAAAATTCATTAAAGGCTTTTTGTGTCAAATCAATATCATTATTTCTCTGCAATATAGACCATGTAGTTCTAGTATAAACCTGTGGTGTGGGGCATTCAATACAGATTCATCAACATGACTGTTTACAGTTCAGTGAGATGAAAATTCACTCTTAAAATATGAAAATATTGATTTTCATTTTTTCAAATAGTCAAAAATTCTATGTAAAGGCTTCATTCTGTAACCTGACTTTTTCAATATGAAATGGTTTGACTTGTTTTTTTTTTTTAACTGGTCAAGTAGGTTTGGTACACCTCTTTCTATGCCATTGAAAAATTTAAGGGGGTCTGAATACTTTCCGTACCCACTGTAAATAATCTAAAAAGAATGCTTGTCCATTGATTTAACTTTTTGTTATTAGCCTTGACAATGTTAAAAAATAGTATTTTGAAAATACAAAAATTAGAAAAGTACCTCCTAGGCAGCATAAATATTTACATATTTACATTTAATTATTTTCTTAATATGGTTCATTTAAATCTGTCATTTGTGTTACATTAAACAATGTTTGTGTGAAAGACAAACAAAAAGACGAATGACCTACATGCAATGTGTGACTAAGGTTTTGTTTGGAAATATTCAAACTAAATATCAATGAACATATTGACAAGATGCCAATTTGTCTAGTTGCATATTGTGGTTAAATGGCACACTCTAACCCATCTCTTTCCCTTTTTGCCAGTGTACTTCCTCCTCCTCCTCCTCCCTCCTCATGCCCTGGCCCTGTGGGCCTGCACGCGCTCTTGCCCTCCCAGTTGCACGTGTTCTCAGGAGAAGCGCTGCAGTGTCCTGTGTGACCACGTCAACATGATGGACCTGCCCAAAGAGTTCCCCTGCGAGGCATCCTCCATCAACCTGGACAAGAACAGCATCAAGTTTCTGTCCGAGCGGGCCTTTGGCACCCTGCCTTCACTCAAGACACTCTCGCTCAACCACAACAACATCTCCTTCATCACGCCGGGAGCGTTTAAAGGGCTGCCCAACTTGCTGGAGCTCAAGTTGGCCCACAACGAGCACATCCGCTACCTGCACACTCGCTCCTTCACAGCAATCAAACGCTTGGTGCGCCTGGACCTCTCTGACTGCAACCTGTTCAACATGCCAGACCGCATCTTCCTGGAGCAAATCTTTCTGAAGGAACTGCTGTGTTTCCAAAATAACTTTCGACGTGTTCCCGGGGCCCTAAGGGGGATGGAAAACCTCACACACGTTTACTTGGAGCGCAACAAGATTGAAGCGGTGGCCTACAACTCTTTGTTGGGCCTAACCAACCTCAAGTACCTCAACTTACAGGAGAATCGCATAAATGTGATACATGATGAGGCCTTCAAAGATCTAGTGCGTCTGGAGAACTTCTACCTGAACGATAATCTGTTGGTCGACTTGCCCCAGCAGGCTTTCAAGGGCCTAAGCAACATAAAAACGCTGAATCTGGGTGGGAACGTGTTGACCAATGTGTCCAAAACATGGTTCAGTGACCTGGTGGAGCTGGAGGTGCTGTACCTGGATCGAAACCGGCTGTCCTATATCGAGGAGGGCGCCTTTGAGAACTTGACGAGCCTCATCACGCTGCACCTCAACAGCAACAATCTGACGTCTCTGCCCTTCTCTGTCTTCCAGCCCATCTATTTCATCGGCCACCTGTATCTCTTTCGAAACCCCTGGGAGTGTACCTGCGACCTGGAGTGGTTGAGGGAGTGGATGGAGAGTTATAAGTTGGTGAGGGACGTTCCATGCGCTTCTCCATCTTCAGTAGCTGGCTTGGACCTGAGTGAAGTTGTCTACGCCCACCTGAACGCCACCTGTCTGGATCCCCCGGAGCTCAACCTGACCACATCTCCTCCTGAGTATTCCACCGTGGAGAACAAGTTCAATAGCCTCATCTCCAAGCTTCTACAGCAGGAACTGAGGGAAGAGATGGTCAACGTCACGGATGGTCTGAGGAACGGCACCCAGCAGGACCTCGCTGAGAGTCAGGTTTCTTCTGGACATGGACTGTTTGGTGCTCTTCCGACTGTGTCTCTTCTTGTGATTCTTTTTCAAGTCCAGATTGACTGCATGAATGCCTCTTGAGAGTCTGGTGAATACCAGAAGGGACTGAAGTGCATCCAAGAGTGGAAGTAATTTTCCATTATGGGAAATGTTTGGATTTAAGACCGTGATGAAATGTTTGATCTATCTTGCCATGGGCGGTGGTTTTTCTCATGTTGAATATGAAATTCTGGCGGATATAATGGAGTTGGAGATGATCATCTCTTTAAATGAATGGAAACTGGTCTTGAAGGGAAAGGAGCATGTTTTAAGCAAATAAGACTAAAGGACTTTTGTTTTGCCAGTGCAAAGGATTCATTAAAGTGTAACTGAGGGCCATTTTGTGAGAACTGCAACTAGGCACGACGGTTTTTGTCATTTTTTTTTATCTAGATTTGATTTAAAACATCTTAACGCGTCTATAGTATGAATACATAGTACATATTCTGTTGCATAACTTTGTAACATTTGTTGTGTAGGAGATTTATCTGATATAACTTCTCGCTATCATTTCACCAGATGGCATAACACGCTGTCCTCTTTGTTTGGATCATTGAACTGGGTAAGGTTCCAGTTCTGGAAAATGCATTAGTCCTCCTATTCTGTAAAGCTTAAGTGCACTCGGTAACATAAGCTGCTTCATATTGTAACCAAATGGATTGGCTTTATCACGGTGTTTCACAGTTATAATCATATATCTTCACTATACAGAGCACAACGTGCACAGAAGGATGTTGTCATATTCTGACATAGGCTTCTGAGCTACTAAATATAAAATATTTGAGGAAGAGACCTAGTAATTGTGCTTTAATACTGATTTTTGTTCACTTGTGATTGAGATACTTTGAATAAACTAAAATCATTGCATAAATAGTAAAATGACTCCCAGGTGCAAAGTTTTGAAAGTGTGCTGTTGAATCACTGATGAATGTTAAACATTACAGTGGAAGTCTGGTAGTACTTTCACACTGAACATGGTGCTTAAAATCAAATCTAAATGTCAGGTTAAACTTGTCTCGGAAAATGTATTCATAAAGTTTAGCTCCTGTATTTTATGCAATGTGAAAGGTTTGAGATGCTCTCATGGTACTGCAGCAGTTAATAATGCAGCCTTGTCTGTGTATATATATATATATATATATATATATATTAGG